ACACAGACACAGACAAACATACACAGACACACAGACATACACAGCACACACACAGAGACACACAAAATATTCACACCTATAGGCAATTTGGCAACTCCAGTTCACCACAGCATGTCTTTGGACTGTGGCAGGAAAAGAGAGTACCCATATCTTTCTCTTTATTTTTTTCCCTTCATCTGAGCTGCTGTTAGCTAGTTGATGTATTTTTAATGCACTTTGAGGTTTTTTTATATTACATCACAGTCTGAAAGGCTCATAGATGGGTGAGATCTGACCCAGAGGAGTGACCCGCAAACCACATACCATTTACTTTAAGTTTGGTAAATTCTTCAATTTTAATGAAAACTTCAGAACAATACAAAATGTAAACACTCAATTTTTCATTTATTAAATCAAAACCATGGCCAGTATACATTAAATATCTATTTAAGAATAAATAAGCAATGAAATAAGATTCAATTTTGCTTTCCAATATTAAACCAATATTTAACAAATCCAATCCAAGAATAATCCCATATTATTTGACCAGCAGGTGGCAGCAAATTACATGTAACGAAGAGGCCATCAGTGGTACAAAGCACTGACTGTACAGGTTCCCAGCAGACAATCCTACATTGCAGATCAACCTCTCAGTGTTTAACTGACTCTCATGGTGTGACTGCACAGACTGAGCAGGGCCGTGTGAGAGAGGCCTCACTGCAGATGGCATAACCATTTATTTTACAGCTCTTCTGTCTCATTCTGCTTCATAAAGGTCACACCCCCCTTCCAGCTTCCTCTGGAGATTCGTGCACAAATAAATGGCTACAGCATAAACTGAAACACTCCAGATATATAAAAAGGCATTTCATACAAACACAGCATACCCTTGCTGATACAGTCTTGAGGATTGTTCATTTATTTACACTAATGTTGTATATTTAATCAAAATTTCTCAAGACCCGTGGTTTGTATTGGCCCCTCCCTCTGCTTCTCTCTGATTGGTTCCCCTCTTTCTACAGTTGCTCCAGTGCAGCTGAATGGCGATGATGGTGCAAATCAGATAAAACACACCAGTCCCAGCTTTCAGTGCAGCATCCAGAACCTGCTCCCATCTGTCAGACATATAATACATCAGTGTGTCTGTCAGTCACACGTATCACATTTAAACCTGAAGAACAATGCAGTGAATCTACTCTGACAGAATTATAACCATCTTGATGACCAACAGCAGCACCAATAAGCCCAGTCCTACATACAGAGCCAGCTGGACCAAGGAGCTGAATAAGAGGGTGGATCTGAACAGTAAAGTCTCACATGCTTTATAGTAACATGGTACAGTCACATCTGTACTATTACACAGGATACATGTGAGGAAGAGGAGACAATATAGCATGGATATGCAAAAATTTTAACTGCTGGTTTTGTTATTACACAAAATCATTATATTATAATGTTTTGTAAAATCCATCCATCCATCCATCCATCTTCCAAACAGGCCTGCAGTCTATCCCCAGCAGCACAGGGCACAAGGCAGGGGCTCAGCCTGGATGGGATGCCATCTCAAGTTATTATAATAAACAAAATAAAAAGCAATGTCCTAATTCTCATAATTATAATGGCAGTTTCCCATCACTGTGTGACCAGGTAAATGCTGCTAGCTGGACCCCCACATTACTGTAAATGCTGCTGAAGGCTTACCTCAGTTTATCATTATTCCCTCCATCTTCATCATGTGCTGAGAGAAACAGGAGAAAGGATTCTTAATTTACAGATAAAAACCCTGTTCTGTAAGTCACTAAAGACTCTTAAGAAAAGGCCATTTTAAAACTCATATAAGAATAAATAATATTCCATAGATCAGCTGGCTGGATACAGAATAATAAATTGGTGTTATGATCAAAGTGTTCATATCCCAGGGAACTGGCAGCGAATTGGTGATATTATTTTATTATAATATAATGTACTTATTGCAGCACTGGATCAGTTATTACAGAGTATAACTGTAACACTGGCCTCTGCTGCAATTTGAAACCACCTACAGACACATCAGCCAGTCTGCACACCTTCTGTAACAATTTTGTATTTGGATTTATATACATAACAAATGGCTGTAATACGGAAACGAATGTTTGTCTGCGGCAACATCCTGTGAAATGTGTCTCATTATACAGACACATCCTGACCTAGAAGCTGCTGATTCCTGAGGGCTCAGTACAGCTCCAGGTGTAACAAACAGATCAGACACGTGTATTTGGTACAGAGCAGGACCTGATAGCATGGAATTCTGCCTCCAACTTTGAGTCAGGGATCTGGGCAGGAATGAATTACATACTAACAGCTGGATTAGATTATATACAATGTATCGGCCAGGAAATTAATAAGAAAACAGGCGCATGTATATATAGTTAAATCTGAATCAGAATCTTTATTGTTCGCCAAATACCAAGTGTGCAAGGAATTCCTCTTGATGCAGGTCATCACAACTGTATTATGGGATGTCTCCCTAGAGGTAATGCTAAAATGTAACATTAATCTATCAGTACATTCATACAGACACATAAAACTACAGCCAGCTACCCATCCTGTAACTGCTCATCCTGGTCAGGGATGCGGGGCCTGGAGCCTATCCCAGGCAGGACAGGGCACAGGGATGGAGTACATCCTGGACGGGATGCCAGTCAGTCACAGGGCACATAGACACACACACTCTATTAGAGACACCAATTAGCCTGACTGCAGGTCTTTGGACTGTGGGAGAAACCCACACTGTCAAGGATACGGGCGGCTCGGACACGAGGACGTGGCATCGGGCACAAAAAAGGGTGGACGACCCACTTGTGGCTCAAAGAAAAACAAAAAGGGTTTATTAAATAAAACAGAAAAAAAACTACAAAATCAAAAAGGACCACGAGGGGTCAAAAACTGAAGGGGATTAAACAATACTAAATAACAAAAAACGAATACACATTAAACACTGAAAATATCTAAACCATCAAACATCCATGAAACAACAACAACACACAACAAACCTCTGAGGAACTAAACAGAAGCAGGAACTAAAATACTAAAGGGGTAACGAGACTAACACAGGACAGGTGAGACTAATTAACAAAGACCAGGAAAACAGGGCACAGGTGAAACTAATAACTCAAAGGAACTAAAAAACAGGGAAACTAAGAACTAACCAAGGAAACAGGGAAACTGAAACCAACACTAGGGAATTAAACAGGTAAAGACACAAACAGGGGCACAAGGAACAAAACCAAAACCAACTACAAAATCAGACACAAGAACTAAAGAAACTCAAATGAAACACTAGGGAGCAAAATACAAAAACAGGAGGTGGGATTCAAACACACGACAGAAGGGTACTCAGGACAGAAGGGTACTCAGGACAGAAGGGTACTCAGGACAGAAGGGTACTCAGGACAGA